TACAGTGTTTATATTTGGAGGTCATTATTCTCATTGTTACACAGTTGTTTATTGTCTTAGTCTTTAAGTTAGATAGATATTGAGAATTATATAGATACATAGTCATCTAAGTTTGTCATTTATAATTAGACTAATCAGGTTCTCTAGATATATAGAGATTATACTCAGTATAGATAGATAATCTTCGACCTCTTCAAAGAGCTGTAGAAAATGGCCTTTAATCTAACTCAGAGTTTCGTGATAGTGAGACACAATTGCTCCTGGCAACACCGCTCTATTCCCGAGAGAATGTTGAGCACCAAAGACACTCCATCTGGAGCCTTTCTATTTGGCAGAACTGGCCTTTGGGCAAAGAAATGCCCATACCTCAACCACTGACAGAGATACAGAGCGTGCATCAATGGATAAAACAGGACTGTCATATCCTGCCAAGACAGGGTAAGATAGTTTTGAAAAGTTCCTTGCCTTTAATAATGGTATGTCAGTTATGTTAGGCCTTAGCCAAAATTGGTTGACTCAACGTTGCAAACGAGACTTTGGGTGATTGCCCAGGTAGTCAGTTGTCTCTGTCAATTGTTGCACATTTTGGATATATCTCGTTTGTTGAGTAGTGTTTATTCCCTTCTCAGATCTTTGACGGAGTTGAAGATTATATAATTGTAGTTACTCTCTACATTATTTGGACTCCTTGAGATAGAATGTTTAGCAAAGCTTTTGTTCTCAATATTGTTTGTTATATTTATTATTTGTTGTTATCGTATATAGTTGTATTTGGTTTAGTTCTGTCTTATTTAGACAAAAAGGGGAGATGTAGGGATAAGTCCCGCCCCTTAGGGGGCATGTTCGCCTCGGGCTAATGTTGGCCTATAAATTTGGCAAGCGTGCTCGCTTCTTCTGCTTTTCCTGGTGGTTCTGTAAGTCTATTTCGCCATTAAAGCTGTCTATATAGTTTTACAATCTGTCTGCATTCGTTTATGCCGTTACACACTGTGGAGGCGGGCTTTGAAGTCTCCTATATGTTCAAGCCATGCCCTCCCAATGACACAGTGTCTCCCTGCTGCCTGTTGCCTGCAAAATATAGAGCTCTCAGCTCCTTCTCCAGAACCACATCTGCCTGCATGCTACCATGCTTCTGCCATGATGATAATGGACTAAACCTCTGAACCATAAGCCAGCTCCAATTAAATGTTTTCCTTTATAAGACTTGCCATGGTCATGGTATCTTTTCACAGCAATAAAAACCTTAGACAGAACTTATCACAAACACAGTTTCGTTTCTTCCTTCTAGTATGTGTGCCTTTTATTTCATCCTTCTCCCTTACTGGTCTGCTAGTCCTTCCAGCATTGTACTGAATAAGGGCAATGAGAATGGACGTCTTTGTTTTCTTCCAATGTAAGGTACAAGCGCTCAGGCTTTTTGTGTTAAGTATAATGAAGCTGTGGGTTCCTTTTATAGCTGTTATACGAAATTAGCTCTAAAGTTGACTTAATAAAGAGGAATGATCTGATGGACTTAGGAGATGGCCAGCTGATTTGTCTAGCTAGTGGTTGCAAAGGTTCACTGTCTTTTCTCCAAATTATTTTCTGCCAGTTTTGGCTAAAACTTACTAATCACTCCTTGTTTTGGGTAAAGGCATTAACTTTAACAATAACATTTAGTTTATTTATCATGCGTATGTGTTCTTGCACTTGCCATGGCAGGTGTGCACGTGGAGGTCAGAGGGCAGCTTCCAGGAGCCGGCTCTCCCTGGCTGCCATGTGGGTGCTGGGAGCCACACTCAGATCTTGATGCTCTGCAGCAGGCACCTGGGAAGGCATTTTTACATGCGAAATATCCTGAAAGTGTTAACGCTTTATATTGTCACTCTTACCTTTGTCTAAAGCTTGTTTCTTTTCCTTATATAAGCAAAAACAAAAAAGGGCAATGGATGTGTGGTAGATTTAAAAAAAGAAAAAGGAGGCCAAGCTTTGGAGCCTCAGTGGGCAGCAGGAGGCTGTTAGATGCTTTTTGTAGTTACGTATGCTCAGGAATGCTGACAAAGGTTTGAAGCCTAATTTAATTTTTAAAAGTTGTCATGATTTTTATACTCAGTAACTATAATTTTAAGAGTCCAAACACTGCATTTTTAAGTGGGTCTGCATTTGTTCTATATATTCCTCTTGTTAATGCTTTCTCCAGCAGCAGAGGCAGGAACTTCCTGTTAACAACGGCCCTGTTGTCAGGAATGGCAGCATGTTATTATGTTACTCTGAGAACGAAACGATAGAACACTGAGTTGGAAGGAGGAAGCACAAATTATAATTCACAACAAACAGATAACTTTTACTTGCTTCATTTGGATCCATAATTACAGTATTTCATAACTTCTCAAGCTTCAGAAAATGTCCCAGGCAATTAGTCCATCAGACACTAAGAATTTGAAAATGCTTATATCCTTTCTGTTACAGTTTTGCTTATAGAAAACTGTTTATAGTTGAACAGTGCTGAAGATCCATATGCCATGTTTGTCTTAGAGATAATTCAAGGATTGAGGTTATGCTGGCCAAACCTGGAGACCATTTTTTGGGGCCTATTATTTTATTGTTTTGTTTCCATATCATGATAACTATTGTGTTTTTCTTTGATGAACATTTAGAAAACCTCTAAAATGCATTGCTTTACTTATTTTAGTTTTCATCCCTTGATTGTTAGGATGAATGTATCTGTTTTAATACCTGTCAATGTGAAGTTTATATAGTCTGTTTCCTACATCCAGCTGCAAGTCTACTTTAATTGCCAAGGATTCTCTTTAGAATAAGGATAGGACTCTTTCCAGGAGTAGGAAAAAGACTGACTGAAGAGACAAAGTTTAGGGATAAAAGGCCATATAGTACACAATAGACTCTTCCAGCTGACGAGAGAAGGGACTCTTAGGAAACACCACTTATTCGAATGAGTTCAGGTTTCTTGACTTGGATAGACGAGCTTCCCGGGCTGGCAGTATTCTGAATGGGGTTGGGGAGTCACTCTTATTATCTTGATGCCTGCTAGAGAGGATAATATGCAAATGCTGTTCCATGTATGAAATGCTACTGAATGACAAGTAAATCTCATTTTAATTCCAGACAAGACTTTAGAGTAATTTATTAAAGTATGGCTTATAAGGGTTAGTTATTTTTTTGTGAGACAGGTTTATAGTGTATAGCCCTATCTCACCTGGGAGCTCATTATGTGAACCAGGCTGGGTTGAACTGTTGGAAATCCACCCCTTGTACCTCCTGAGTGCTGGATTAAAGGCCTACACTGCCATAACCGAACTAAGGGCACATGAGTGAAGGCTATAACCCTTGGACTAATTTTACACTTATTAAGACAGCATATGAGCCTTGCTATTTCATTTAAAAATTTTCTTTATTGTACTTATTTCATGTGTATGTATGGCACATGTACAGATGTCAGAGAACAATTTACAGGAACTGGTTCTTGTGCTATAACATAGTTACAGGGACACTTTCTGCATCCTTGTGCTATAACATAATGACAGGGACACTTTCTGCATCCTGTGCCATAACATAGTTACAGGGACACTTTCTGCATCCTCATGCTATAACATAGTTATAAGAATACTTTCTGCATCCTTGTGCTATAACATAGTGACAGGGACACTTTCTGCATCCTTGTGCCATAACATAGTGACAGGGACACTTTCTACTATCTCAAGGGAGGTTGCATTAGGAAGAAACACTTTAACCAGAAGACCAGATGTGATGTGTTGCCTGTATTTCCCGTATTGGAGACAATAAGGTAGAAGGTAGTGGGTTGGAGGCCATTTGGGGCTAGTTATTAGTTTCCAACCTATGATGAGACAGTGTGTTTTTTAAAAGAGTCCTTATTGAGTAATCTAAGAATTGATTTTATTTTGGTGCCCTGGAGCTCTCTTACCTTTATGAAAAACAAATCAAACATAGGCCACCCAAGGACTATTTGTTCTTAAGACAGATAAAAAAAGTAAGGTCCTTTTCCTGGCTTGCTTTTTCACTGTCCTTGTATTGACCAGAGCTTCACACACACTTTATTTGAAGAACACAAGAACTCATATACCCATGGTAGATAAATATGATATGGTGCCAAATATGTAAGTATTGGTTCTTCAAAAGAATTGGATTTAATTTTAATATCCTCTCCTTTTATTTGGCTTTGAAACTTCAGGAGTCTCAGTTTTAATCTATGGAATAAGTATAACAAAGAAGAGAATGAGTTTAAAATGCATTTTCTATTGTAACTTTGGACAGAATGTTAAATTCTATAAAAAATCCTAAAATATTGAAGTCGAGTAAGAGAATAGAGTTCATTGGGTTCAGTGCCATATTTTATAAATGAATAGAATAAAATCTTAGTAAGTCAGAGACTTCTGGAGGAGTGTTTTGAACCTTTCCAATGCTGTGAGCCTTTAATACAGTTCTTCCATGTTGTGGTGATCCCACCCATAGCATTATTGCTAGTTCATAAGTGTAATTTTGGTACTGTTATGAATTGTAATGTAAATATCTGATATGTAACCCCGTGAATGGGTCATTTGACCCCAAAGGGTTCATGACCCACAGGTTGCAAACCACTGATCTAAAGGGTCATAGTGTAGTTGGATGCTAAAGGCCATGGGTTCCTTCTGACATGATAGAAAACTCATCTCAGAACTAAAGTTGTAAGGATTTTTTTTTTAGCATTTTTAGTTTTGTTTTGTAAAAGATATTTGAAGAGTAAATATTTCTTATACTGATACCACAGAGAGATCATTTCTTTGAGAAAATCTTTTCTCTTTCCAAGATTCGTGTTGGTTTTAGAAATTGTCATGATGACTGTTCCAGCAGCATAGCAGGCTATGTATTTACTTTGTCTCACCAGCATGGTTGATACATAGCAGGTTTGTCTCACCAGCATAGTTGCATAACATCTTTGGTTGAGCTTTATTTTTCATAATTAAAAACATAACATTTCAATAAATATATGTTCTGTTTCCTAGATGTCTCCTGAAGAAACAGTTTGTAAATACTGTGGCGTCAGCTACCTAATTCTTCATGAATTTAAGGCTATGGAAGAAAAACTGAAAGCAGTGGAAGAAGAAATGAAATTTTATCAAGGAAGTGTAGAGCGAGAAAAGAGACTTCAGGAAAAACTGCAGTCTCTTAGCCAGGAGTTTGACAAGTACAAAACTGACAGTGAATCCAAAAACAAAAGGTTGGAATATGCTTTCTGCCTCTTATTTAGTCTGAAAGAAAATAGATTTGGGTGGCCGGGTGGTACATGCTTGTATTGCCAGCTGTCGGGAAGCTGAGGGAGGACTTGTGAGCTCCAGGCCAACTGTATATTTTCCTGTATCCTTTATTGCGCCTTTCTTTACCTTTGTTATAAGTAGCTTTCTGTTATATTTGTAGCTTGGTATTTTTTAATAGATATTTTAAAATAAATAATATATGAAGTGTGTTCTGTGACTTCGCTGCTTAATTGTATGTACTGAAAATCTTTGCCCATTAATGCATACAGATCCATCTTGCTTTTTACTATGTCTGTGTTTTTCTGAGGGATATATAATAATTTACTTGACTTTTCTCTTTTCAATATTTATACTATTTCTGTTTGTTTTTATAGGTTCTATTTATATTTATATTCCTTTGAACATGTTTTCCCATATGATAAATTCTCAGAAACAAAAATACCAAAAGAATATTTCAATGTAAAATGTTGATGTTTATTAAAACAAAATTAAACCTTTGAGAAGACATGATTAATTAAGTTTGACCATGTACTTAGCAACTGGCCATCCTTACACTTTTTAAAATATCAATATTCTTTCTTTATTCTTATGCATGAAAAAAGTGCTACGCCCTGGTATTTAGTTTAAGCTTCTTTTTGTTAATGAAGGTGAACAGTTTTTCACATGCACATTGATTAACTGCACACATAAATTGTCCAGGTTTCTATCGGGTTATTAGTTTACATGAATCTTGTTTGTTTTGAGGCAGGGTCTCATGTAGTAAAGGAAAGTTGAATTTCTGATTTTCTTCTACTTCCCAGTGCGGGCATGCTTCACCAGACCCTTCTTAAAGCTAGCCCTTTCGTAGTTCAATCATAGATTTAGCCTACTACTCAAGAATCATTATTAGTAGAACCTCAATTTTCTCTCAAAACATTCCAAATTGAACTATAAACGTGAGGTCATCTTATTCATAGTAAGTTATCTCAGTAGAGAACTTACTACTCAGCATGCTTTCTGTTAATAAATCTTGTCTTAATAGCATTAGGAATGACCCACAGTGGGCTGGTCCCTCACACGTCCACCATTAATCAAGAATATTCCCTACAGACCTGCTATAGTCCAATCTTATGGAGGCATTTTTTTTTCAGTTAAGTTTTACTCTTTCTAGACATATCTAGTTGTGTCAAGTTTGTGAAACCCGACCAGCACAGTTAGTATTTTCTAAATTTTTTTTTTTTAAATTATGTCAGAATTACTAAGAATGAAACAGGCTTTCTCTTTCCTTGTGTTGTCTACAGGACCCAGCCCAGTGGCGTGCTCATGTTATTTACCAATTGTTCAATGAATTGTATCATATTATAGCTATATTATTAAAGCATGAAATGAATCATGAAGCCAAGATTTTCATACTGCATTTCATTTTTATTTTATCACTGTATGGAACTTAGAAGTGTTTATATACCTCCTGGAAGGTACTCAAGCTCATGCATTATATTTTGTACTTTAAATGATTTCTATCAAGAAAAAAGAAATATAAGCAATATATCTCTTGCTGTCACCCCTGTTTTCTATTAACACTAAATGCGTGTATGTCTACAGATGGCTCTCTGCCGTGAATTGCATCATTTGCACTGGTTTTAATATGCCTCCTGGCTCTTCATATTCTGTTCTCAGCATGCATCCTTACTTATGCTGAATCCTGTAATATTTGTATTCAGATAAATGCTTAGAGTGCTGCCTAGGAAAGGTGTTTCTTGATTTGCTTCTTCTTGGATCCAGGTGAATGTTAATGACATTGGAAGATGTCACTTGGCTATAACTCAACATTGAATAATAATAATTTCCTGGAATTTATATTGCATTTCTTTATTAATGGGCATGCATTTTGTCACCTGGTGATTGCTCATCGGTTTTGTCATTGTCTGTCCTCCAAAGAGGAGGGATGTATTTTACCTGCAGCCAGACAGGAGGCGTCTTGTAGAATTACTGTTCTACTTGGAAAGGATCAAAAACGCACAGAGAATGGAAACATAGAAAATTATTCATTGAAACTTCCCTAGCATAAATTGTTGACAAGATATAGCAAGAAGGCAGGAAGAAGGATCATACATATTTAAGTGTGGGATTAGCTCTTATAATCAAAAGCAAAAAAGGAAATAAAAGTTCACTTTGTAATGATTATATACTTTTGTTTTATCTATACTTATGTAGGTAATCTTAAGACTTATGGACTTTGTGTTAAAAACAGACTTGTACATGAGATAAAAGTTAATAGAAGTCACATTTATTTTCATAGGGAATTTTTCTTTTAGGCGGGTTTCATTCATTATATTTTGATCTGTTTTTTCCTTCTCCCAATTGCTGCCTCCAGAGACTATCCCAGCCTTTTACCTACACAACTGTGTATTCTTTTAATTTCATTAGAAACAAATGAAACCAAGAAGCATACACAAAACACAGAAATGAAAATCAAAATAAGCAAAAGACAAGCATAACAAGAACAACAACAACAACAAAGAACCCAAACAAGCAAAATGAGACAAAAAGTCTACAAAATACCACTGAGTTTGTTTTGTCTTGCCCAACTACTCCTGGGTGTGGGGCCTGACCACATATATGGTTAATATACCCAGTGAGACACAATTGGAGAAAACTGATTTTTCCTTTGCCAGCAGATATCAGTTGCAGATAGTTTCTTGTTAGGGTTGGGAGCTGTGCCCACTTTTTCCTCTCAGTGCTAGGACCCTGTCAAGCTGGAACCTGTGTAGGCCTTGCGTGTGCTACCATAGTCTCCATGATCACATGTGCATTGACTCAGTCCCGTTGTGTCTGGGAGACACTGTTAGCTTGGAGTCATCCATCACCTCTGGCTCTTAGAATCTTTCACCCTCCTTCTGCATAGACCGCTGAGCCTTGAGAGGAGGGCTTTGATGAAGCCATCCCATTTATGACTGAGTGCCCCAAAGCCTCTTTCTGCACAGTAGCCAGTTGCGAGTCTCTGTGTTAGTCCCTACTTATTGCAAGAAGAAGTTTCTCTTATGATTACTGAGCAAGGCACTGACATATGGGTGTTTTAGTCTGCCTTTTGTCATTCTATTGCTGTTTCTTTAGTAGGATAATTGTACCATGTTTTCTCCTAGGCCCATGACCTATCTAGTCTCAGGTTCTTGGCCACTTCAGCAGTGTCAGGTATGAATTCTTCTCATGTAGTAAGCCTCAAATGCAATTAAAAATGGTTGGTTACTCCTTTAACATTTGTGCACTATTGTACCAGTATATCATGTAGGCAGGTCACTGTTGCAATTACATTGATAATTCACTTTTGTTTCTGGTAGCCATGAATGCTAATCAGTACAAGTGAAGCTTCTAGTTAGACACTAGCTCTATTTCTCTTTGTTTAATAACATGTAAGTCCTGTCTTCCATATGAGGGCCTCACTAGCAGGTTGTGGAGAGCAATCAATAACCTTGGCAATAGCCTATGATGTTTTTATTTTGGGGGAGATTTTCATGGAACACCTTTGGCCAACAACTCAAGATTATGTAACATATTCCTGGACTGGAGTTTTACCTGGTGGTATAAGATGTCTAGCTGGGGTATTGTTTAGAGTATTATTTGGACTCCATTTAGGTTCCCTTCGTATACGTGTATATTTTAGGAAGTTTCTGTAGTAGCATGTTTCCATATGTCCACGCAAAAGGCCATTAGTGTTAGTCATCCTTCCCCATATTTTCTTTATTAACCTTTCCAACCTCATCTCCATTTAGTTCTCCCACTCTAGTCTCCCCACTAAAATAATATACTGTATTTACCTTCCATTGGAGAGCCTGCCCTCCGTGCTACAATGTCTGTCTACCGACAGGAAGTTCAAAAATCCAGTAGTTGTTCAGTCCACAAGACTGGATGTCCCAACGGGTCTTCAGAATCTGCCAGAATCCCGAAGAAGTAGTCTCTAATGCCAGTGAGAACAAGGGTGTCTTCCATGCCTTTTATATAGGCTGCTAAAAGAAGGCCCTGATTAAAGGTGGAGCTTCCTGCCTCAAAAGACGTAAGAATCCCTCACAAGTGTGCCCAGGAGTGGTACAGCTTGATCTTGAGGTAGATGAGTTCCCAGCTTCCTGAGGAACCACAGCTGATTTTCGTACTGGCTGTACTAGTTTGCAGTTCCACCTGCAATGGGTTAGTGCTCCCTTATTCCTACATCCTTACCAGCATGAGCTGTTGTTTTATTGATCTTATCCATACTGATTGGTATAAGATGAAATCTCAAAAGTAGTTTTGATTTTCATTTTTCTAATGGCTAAGATCTTAAAAAACACCTTTGACGTTTCTCAGTCGTTTGTGTTTTGTCTTTTAAGAAGTCTCTACTTGGTCTGTATCCCACTTTTAATTGGGCTATTTTCTTGATGTTCAGTGTTTTTGTTTGTTTTTAGTTCTTTATATAGTTTAGATACTAATCCTCTATTGGATGTATAATTGGTAAGGATCTTTTCTTCTGTAGATTGTCACTTTGTTGGAATGATGATGTCCTTTCCATATAGAAGCTTTTAAGTTTCATAAAGTCCCATATTTTTTTTTTGTTGATCTTAATGCCTGTGCTAATGGTGTTCTGTTCAGGGGTTCTTCCCCTTCCTCTATTCTAGTTATTTGTAAGTTTGGTCTTTTCAGCATTTCCCAGATTTTCTGATTTTGTTTTGTACCTCAATTTTTTTTTCAGATTTAACGTTTTCTTTGACAGAGCTATCCATTTCTTCTACTTTCTCATCAAAACATAGGGAATATTTTTAATACATGTTATATTAGCATAATAGATTTTTTTCTTTTATGAAACACAACTTCATATTTAAAAGCACTGTCAACTCTTTTTACTTGTTTTATGTAACCATCAGAACAGTGTTTTGAATTCTTAATCTTCCACTGACAGATATTTGAATGATAATCTAATACATTCTAAATTACATATTGATAAAAGCACCCCTAT